CGGCTGCGCTCTTCAGTGCTGCGTGCGATCTTTGGGCCGCTGCACTTACATGTTCATCTCAAGAAAACACCAAGGCATGTCAGGTCGGAAGATGCAAAGAACTAGAGTGTTAATTTCTCCGCTAAATGTTGCCCGCTGATTGAACATAGAGTATTGAAACCATCCAGGCCATGATCATCAAGTGAACATGCAGTTGGCCCATGCGCTCTCTCCGCGGGGATCCATCAGGGTGGGAGGTAGAGTCGAACGCCCGCCGTCAAGCCACCCTGAGAAGAAGCCTGCTATTCCATCATTGCAGCTTGAGAGCCAGAAAGAGGAGGGAGCAAGAACGCTTCATGTGATTCCAGCAGTGTTCACCGGCATCCTTTTTAAAGCACCCGAGCGGCTCTCAGCCAAGACATTCTTGTCAGGAACTTATTTATATCGCTTACTGTGCCAAATAGTGCGTTTCCAGGAGCGAACACCGTGGCAAGTACTGATGCAAATTCGATTTGCAGTGCAAGCAGTACAGCAGCCGCGGAGAATGTTTTGCAAGGAAGCATTGCGACGGGAGGGTCCACTCAAAGCAGTGAATGGCTTTCTGAATTGTTACTAGTAGTAACAAGGGCATTACTACTAGTAGATAGAGGCTACTAGTAACAAGAGGCATCGCTACTATTAACAAGAAGCTACTAGTCACAGGCGGCCTGCCCGAGCCACCAAGGAAAAATTTAGCTCACTGGCTCACTTCTTTAGCTTTGGCAATTTTTGAGGGCCAGCGGGACCCACCGGTGCAAAACGCGAAGGCAAAGGATTAAAAAGGGCAGTGCAACGAAGTCTCCAGGTGTTCTGGTTGTTTCGGATTGGACGAGTGCTGCTGGCAAGGCCTAGGCATGGATACACTCTGTATAAGCAGAATGCGTGTTGCAGCAAGGAGAGCAACCACCCAAGATTGGGTGAGTGCATTTGGATCCAACTTCTGCAGCAAAGCCAAGGATCGCTTTCGGGCATGTGCCATCTAAGGAAGACTGGCGGTATCAGTTCATTACCCGACTGACTGGACAGTGTCCATTTGTGGTGTTTGATTGATCTATCTATACACTGGCTAGTGCAGCGTTCCACTCAAAGCTAACTCAGTGCTCTCACATTGGCAACTTCATTCCTCGCTCACTGAACTTAAACATGGCAGCCTCTCGCAAAATAGGCGGAAAAATCCCTCTGTGTTCTTTGTGGATGGCTTGTGGCACTCTATTAAATATTCGTATCTGCTGGAATTTGCAGCCCAGCCTGTGTGTTAATATATGTAAATATAACTTTGGGGCACACAAAACAAACATCCAAATGAAGTCCAAGAGACGTAGAAAAGTAGCACAAAGACCCAAAAGGTCGAAATTGCCTCAAACATCTGGTGCGCCCTTCAGGAAACAATGCTACCCCGCAAAGAACAAACACAGAAACACACAACCCTTGAAGAACTTCTGGGCTAGGAACTACACTGAAGTAACTCTCTAAGACTCTCTGAGCCTGTTCGTGTCCTTCAAGTTGCACATTCTTATTTGCTGGTTTGATTGCCAGGCTCCACGCTCCCACCCCGAGCCTGAAGGGGACCAGCCAAATCAACCCAGTTCAAGCCGCCAGAGATGCTCATGAAGAGGCTCAACATCGTTTGCGTCAAGGAATTTAGATGCGCACGAGCCATTTCCAACTCTTCGTCCGGCAGGGACACGAGCCTAGAATAGAAGTTGGGCAGCATAAAACATTCACTTTGTAATTCCACCATTCAACCATGGCACGGATTCTCACGCAAATACGGATCCACTGCTTGCGTGATAAGCACCGAAAATACGTATACCTTGCGTGATGCTGCTCTGAAGAACAAGGTCGAAAGGATCCAAGCAAGTCCGTGAAAATAGTTGTCAGGCTATGATGCAATCAGCAGCAGCAATGTGAGTGCCCAGAATAGCGAGCGGAGCGTGTAGACAATGGAGGTGACCAAAGTGCGGAGTGCCATCACGAATCGGAAGATTCTTACCACGCGCAATGTCTTCAAAAGGCCTCAACGAAGCCATTGCGTCGCCGCTCGCAGGACTTGCTGACACGCTGACCTACATAGATACTGAATGATACCGATCATTACTGACATACAAAACATCAAGTCGTTATAAGTCGTTTGATTTGGATCATGTTGTGCCCGTATACAAGCAGGTATTGAAAGCGAGTCAGTTGAGTCTTGTTGATGATTCACGAGGTCCCGAATTGGATCCATTATAGAGGAAGGAGAGAAAGAGAGCACCATAGAGCACCAGCACTGTGATTCCTATCAAATTCTATTAGCGGTTGGTGAGTGGTTGGCTTGCATGCTTTTGGCAATCTATGCCCAGTGCATGCGTAGTTAATGGATTTGAAGCAGAATACCTTGAGCTGAAACAAGGTTCACCCGGAATGCCATGGACCAGAAACCATTATAGACCAGTGTCTTCTTCGCCAAGGGGCGTGTGATGCGTATAAGTCTCAAGGCTTTGAACCCCGTGAAGCTTCCCACGGCATTGGAATCCACCTCGCCGCCGGTTCGCACCTCCACATCAGCAACGCTCAGTCACTCCAAAGGTTCCGAAACAAAGACTTGATCGTGTTCACCGAAGTGGAACAAACATCCGCCCTCAATGGCACCCATACCTAACCACAAATCCAATCTCTCAACACCTTGTGAATGTTGCCCGGAGAGATGCCTCTCTTGCTGCAAAAAACTGAAGACAGGCAACACCGAGCTGCCCTTGTTCAACTTTTTCCAGTGCCTCTAAGTTAGTTCTCATCAGGCAATTGCACTTCAGGCCGATTTCTGCTCTATTTGGAGCCAATCGTGATTGTCCAGTAAGTCCACGAAGATTTCAACGAGGGAAATGAGCACGATCCCAAAGTCCAACCAGGCCCACATCCAGTCACTACCACAAAAATAGCCTCTGCAGCAACGAGCAGCACAGCAGGCCCAAATTTCAGGTGATCCAAGCCCAAGAACTTGACACGTACACGCACACGTTGTTCACAACAGCACGCAGCATGCAGTTCAGGCCATCTGTGTTCTGCTCAGTCAAGATCTAAACACAGGCAAACCTTCCTCAGTGAAACTAGTAGTAACAAGTGCATCGCTACTAGTAACAAGTGCCTTACTAGTAGTAATAAGAAGCTAGTAAGTCTAACAAGGTTTTCTGCCCTGCGACCTTTCCGTTTAGAAGGAACACACCATCTGCCGCCACAGGTGCCGAGGCCAAAAGCTCCCACGCGCATGGCCAGCTCAGCGGTGAAGAGCCCCTTAAATCAGAATAGTAGCTTCTTGCTCCTAGTAGTAATGCCCTTTGCTCCTAGTAGCTTCTTGCTCAAAATCGGAACAGTGCTCAAACTGATTATCACCACTGCTGGATGTGTCCATTTCACTCTAGACTCAGACTCTACACTATCATTGTTGCAACAAGCAAAAGCTCCTGGCTGTTAGTTCATAGTTCCTACTCTCCTCTCTCCTCGGTACCCTGGTCTAGACTGACATGCCGCCATCCTTTGGTAAGCTGTTCAATAACACACAGCATGCACACCCCCTCCCTCATATTCACATACGTTCCGTCCCACATGAACGCGTTCTGACTGCTACATACTGTTACTACAACGACTGAGGCATGCCAGGAGTCTTCCCACCAAAGTCTCGGCATTAGCATTAGCATTCCTACCAACTGTATAGTATCATAGTACTAGAAATCACAACCTTCCTCACTCAATTCTTCCACAAAACATGCAACTCACAAGAACTGCAACGAGTGCCTGAAAATACCTTCACCTGCAGCGACAGTCTCTGGCGTCCCGCAGGGATTGCCCGGCTACTAAAGTACACAGCCCAAGGGATATGTCATGAATACATGTTTATCTGCTGAAGGCAACCTATATAAGCCCTAAGTCTTGGCATGTTATTGATGAGTTTGAACCGGTAGTCTGTCAGATTTCTCCAAGTTGCGGCATATATGAGCTGTACCACTTCCAGCGCAAACGGTTGTTCATCGGTGTGCATGCCAAGCTCCTTAGCTCAAACCAACTCAGTTACTGGTAGAAATAGACGCATAAACAAGGAAGTAATGGACGTGGATATCGCTTTATATAATTTATATCTATGTTAGTATCAGTCAGTATCTACATTTATAAACTTACACAAATATTGAATTTGTATATAATCTAAATGAAAAGAAACAGTTTTCCAATTGGATTACTTGCTAATTTATTCCGTTTGCCACTCAGAACTCCCAACTTCTTGCGACCCGCAGGACCCAAACATGCAAGCCCAGAACACTCATGCTACGGACGGGTGACAGGTCCTACGGCCAGGTCCCATTGGTCCCAAGATAACTCCGACCTTTTCAACTGTTAGTAGGCTGTTAAAAATGAACATCAAGTTGCAAAACGCTAAAGCAAGGTCTATTTGGGGCAATTGGCTTGGGAATGCTTTTGCAATGCTTCGCATGGAATCATGGTTCCAAAATCCAACATGACTTGACCAAAGTGCAAAGCCAGCCTCGCAAAAAGGCAGCTCGATCCACCGGTGTCAAGCTTCGTAGGGCTGGGGTGTGGAATGTGCTGACGTGCGGGCCAGTGACCAACAAAATCACCACAAGCGGATGTGGCAGCAGCTACTGACAAATGACTACAAATGCAAAGTTCAAAACGATGAACACCGGCACTTTGATCGATTGGATGCACAATTGCATTTATAGACCCTGATCTTCGGGGCCTAAGTGTGATTCCGCCAGCCGCCGGATACTTTTGGTGGTCGATTCCGCCGGATACTTTTTAGGTGGCTGGCTGGCTGATTCCCGTGAATTTTTTGATAGCTGGCTGGCTGGCTGGCTGACTCTGCCAAGTGCCCGGAACGCCGGGTCAATACATTGGCCTCGTGCCTGTGCCTCATGCTAGAAACATCAACACAGATCGCGGATCTGCCACTAGGAATGGGTGTGGAGCTGGCCTGCATGAACCCAACAAAACCGCAGCTACAACCAGGATTTACAAGCACTTTCACCGTCTTTTACTTTTGATCACTTTTGCTTTCAATTGCTGAAGACCAAAATAAAATGCCTTGGCAGCAGTTGTGGGAAACATCCAAAGTGGTCAAGTTCTGTTTTGTGGGGTGGAAAAAAATCTGATGAATCAGTCTGAGCTTCTACTTCAATCCCGAGAAACACTGAATTGGTGAGGACCACGAAGGCAAAAAAACATATCAAAGGCCGGCGAGTTCACAAGGTTGCGAAACCACAGTTGCAGTCGTTCTTTGCGTGTTCTATCCAGCGTGCCCTGGCGCTCACGACGTCCGTCATCCAGATCATCTAGTTGTCTAGATCTCACTAACCGAACATGCAACCTGAATTGGAACTTATTCATGTGAACAAAATTTCCCGACAGGCACTGATGCTCACAGAAGGGCCGAAGTTGGCTGGATCAAAGAACATGGCGCATGTAGAAATGTCCACAGAAAAAATATCGATTCAGTCTTTGGAAAACCTATCGAATCCGCACGTCACTTGTGGGAAAACAACCTTGCCCGTATGTGACAACATGCCGAAGCACTTTGATCATGCTGATCATGTCAACAGGTGGTGCCTGAGTGCTAGCAGCACTTGCATAGAGCTGCCGGCTGAGGTCCCCGTCGACCTCTGCGGCCCTCTCCCGCAAGACCAAATCAGCTTCAGTGAAGGTGTGGAACACCTAAAACAGGTGGCAAAGGGAACAATACACTGTACTGTATAATAATATTACAAAAGGCAAACCCTGGACCAGCAACTCAGCGTTAGTCAAATTCATTCCCTGACCCGAAAATGAAAATGTCCGTTTGGAATCGTTTGGAATCCGAAAAGTCAAAAAAATGATTTTGATTTTCAGGCACATTCGAGAAGTCAAGAAATGCGGAAAAAACAAACAAAAACCAAAAAGTCGAAAGTAGGACGGCCTCTACTTCCAGGGTCGAAAAGTTAAAAAGCAAACAACAAAAGTCATAATCTAGAAGGATGTAGAATTTCACAAGTTGTAAAGGGCTTGTATGGAAAATTCAGTTGAAAACAAACAAACACTTGCGATGAAAACCCAAACGTCGCAAACTAGACAAATCACACCGAGAGATGGATCCACACATTTGGGTTCTAGACATCCAAACGCGCATGCACCAAAGTCAACATGGTCCTTTCTCTTCTGCTCTAACTTCCCAGTCTGGCCAGTGCTTCTCTCAAGGCTCTTGGCCCTGCATCGTTCCAAAAAAAAACCTACAACTCACAAGCACAAAACTCCGAGCCATGAAAACAATATATGCCCAGTTTTGGAAAAACAATTTTAATCCCCCAGCACGAAAGCCCGAGCCATGAACAAATTGTATAGTTCCAGAAAGGAACAACAACTCACCAGCACGAAAACCCAAGACATCAAACAAATTAACTGCACGCGAAAGCACCAGGCATGAACAAAAATACATTTCCCAACTATATCTATATGATTCGGTTTTGAGAACACATTCGTTTCAGAAATCAAACAACAAAAAGTCCTTCGAATGGACAGTGTTTGCTTGAGTTCTGTCATGGAAGTGTCAATCTCGCATGACAGAAATGAAACAAACAATATCAATTCCTACGACGTTTCCCTGGATTTCAGTACTGACAATTTTCCGAAAACATAATCACAGCTCATAGGTCTTTGTTGTTGGAACTGGTTTGGGCTTTCGCGTCGGGCCGTGCTGGGGAGTTATAACTCTAACTGGCTAGTATCAAACTGGCATGCGACTTTTGAGATCATCAAACGATCTTTGGATTCTGGCACGGCTTGCCAAATTGTCTTTACGCGAGGACTTGGTGCGAGATGGAGAAGCCAAATCCATGGGATCATGGAAGATCATACGGCAGCCCGTTGAGGACAGGCAACTTCTTGCAATCTTGGAAGTTTGCGGAATTCCCTCCGGGTGAGGGTGAGGCTCGGATGGGTCACACAACAGTTTCTATGTTAAACGGCTTCTGTGACAAGGGTCTCCTGCAGGATGGTTTTGTGATGAAGAATCTTGATCCTGGCCATGTGCAACTTTTGATCGACCATACCAATTATATATATAGACAGGAGTTGCAACATCGGGAAATGCCTTGAGTCAACTGGCTACTTCGTTCTTGGCCCCACTCTGTCCATGTTGAGCCTTTGCAATACGCGTGTAGCTTACGCCACAAGCCTAAAAGCAAGGACCGCACTGAATCTAGAGTCAGCCCTGGTGACATGGTATTGGTTTCAGCCCAACCTTCAATATTATGACTCAGTATGAATCTTGCTTCATGTGAACTACCCAAACCTCTGAAAATTTGCACAAAACGGTCGTCGCTTCTCCGGTGGACTCGAACAGTCCAAACTTGCGAAAAGTAGGACGGCTTCCACTTCCAGACTGGAAGTTGGAAAAAGAGGGCCCGCAAAGTGCGAAACATTAAAAAGATGGGGGGCCCCTTAGCAGGGTGACTGCAAGGGGACCCCTGTGAATAAAATAACTATTTCCTTAAGCCAATATTATCCACTAGGTGAATAATTTGGTCCTTTAACTTATTCTCGAATAGTTTTCATATCAATGGACCCACTCACAAGCACCGACAAAGCCATACAAAGCCATACTGATATCCGTTGTACTTCTTTGTCATTGGCCCTTCTTGATCTCTATCCACATGTTGAGCCAATGTCAGCACGATGTTAGTTGGCAATAACTGCTCCAGATTATGTCTATTGAGGGGGTCTACCACATAATTATTACAATGGCCCCTTCTACACCCCTTGATCTGACCCTCTGGCAGAAAACTTATTCCAGTCAAAATTATTCACAAAAATTATTCATGGAGGTCACATGGGCCCCTGGAATAATTAACGGTGGCGCTCCCCAATTAAAAAGTCAAAAAAGACACAAAACAGGCTGCAAAAACAAGCCGCAAAAAACCAAAAGGTTGACAAATAACGATAAGTCGACAAGGCGAACACTTTTTGACTTTTGTGCTTTTGGAGTGTTTTTTACGTTCATGTTTGTTTCGGTTGTAGCTTAGCAGCCACCCCCAAGTAGATTGGTCAACCTTTCTGGAGCCAATCTTTTGGCAATACTAACCGCCTTTCTTCCCTTTCTTCGCGCCTTTTAACTTCATCAACTCCACCCCATGATATCCAATAATGCTTTTGCAAGTTAAATGGCCTTCTCTAACTTACCCCTTTGTTCCGATGCTGGCTCATTGTTGGCCCATGCCTTTGGCATTGCCCATTCAGCAGTGTTGAGGAAGGATAAATAACACCCCGTAGAAGGTTGGCTGATACAGACTCCAGTCATAGGTTTAAGTCCTATATCAGGGAAGGGGTAGGGTAGAGAAGGTTATGAATGGAAGGTGGCTGGGGCCAATGAGACATTTTTGCCACAAAGACACAGCATATTGCAGAGTGCCTTGGCTATGCCATGGAGGAGTTGATCCAGAAGACTGCTGAGGAGTCTTGGCAGGGTGCAAGAGGAATGTGTTTTTGGCACTGAGGCCTGCATTGAGGAGGCATGAGGAGGCCTTTGCTGAATGAGTTTCCTAATGTAAACAGGGTCAAGCTGCAAAAGCATCGCAAACCTCTGCAGTTTATTTGTTGATCGTGCACTCTGCTAAACAGTTTGTCGTTGCCCAATTGCTGGGACTTAATGGAGTTGACCTGCCACCGGAGTCGACCTGCCGGCCTCTGGCGTGCAAACCTTCACCTTTTCCTCTCCAAGAATAAGCGAATTGGTAATGTCCAGCTGGCCAAATTCACCTGAGCGCGACTTGGAGATGGCAAGCAAATCAGTTTGGAGTCTGTCTGGCAGGCAGGCAGGCAGACGGACAAACCGACAAAGCGGACAGTTGAAGACCGAGCCGAGACGCTGGCACTTCAATCAAAAGGGAACGTCTGCCTTGTTGACTCTTCTTTGTATGGAACATTGAATGAATAGTGCACCTTATCACTCATGACCTGGTACATGAAATCCAAACGGACCAAATATGCAACAAGAGTCAAACATTTAGCCAAAGGTCCTGTGGGAGCAATGCATTGGGCATGGGCAACATCTCAGCATCAAATTCTAGATAATTCTAGAATCCTAGAATAAACATATCCGCCATGTTGTGCCCATAACCCCAGCCCCTCCCTGCCCTCTCCTTGGCCTTTTGCTGGCAAGCCTCCACTGTCGTGCATCTCAGGGAGTTTACAATTGATGTCGGTGTTCAAGGCTCTTGCAGTTGGCTGCTTCAGCAAAGTGATATGAATCCGCCTGCAATGCAGCAGCTCCGAAGGTCTGAGTGTGTGGCCTTTTACCTGGGTCAGTTGTACAAGATTGTACACATCATATAGATCCTCGAGGGTGACGTTCTTCCAAGAAGTCTTTGAAACGCTTCCTTGTGAATGCCGGCTTGGAACTTAAGTCCTGCAGCATTGTACGAGTACTACAAATGAAAGTTGACCGCATTTAGTCACACAATGGTCATAATTACTTGCTATTTCCTTGGCACCGCTGGACTAAACACGTGGGCAAACCGTTTTTTCGATTGGGAACTAATTGTGAGATGCACCAATCCCTTGGAGTCATTTCATCAATCTTTCCGCTAGCGGCTAGCGGCCGCCTCAGCACTTCATCTTGCTTGTCTAACCTCTGCAAGACTTCTGCGTGGCATCTCTCCACGCAAGAGCTCAAAAGTTCGGGTGACGCAGCTGCAGCGCCGGTGTCACACTCCTTTGTTGAGTCAGTGAGGTCAATGTCCCATTGATCTTGTAGGCCTCAACAGGCAGCGGCTGCAAATGGACCACCCAGGGCATGCCCATGATCTTCTCAAAATGTGTCCAGGAAGGTTAAAGAAAACAATGGCTTGCCACGACTACTACTCCAAAATGACAGCAGAGTTTCGTCCCAAACTCATGGCTACAAGGCAAAAAATCGGGACTAAGCTGTCACTGTCAATTGTCCGTGCAAAGGCCGGCAAGCCTCCAGGCCAATATGGCCACAGTTCCTTTGCTGGGTGGGATGGGTGAGGTGCTTCAACACCATCCTCATCTTCCATGGCGGAGCTAAGCGGCGGAGCTAATTACTGAAGCGATGCAGCTCAGAACACACGTCGAACTAAATCTAGAACTCTTCAAGGACTCTGAACACATCCTCTTGCTCCAGCTTTTGCACTTGAGACCTGTCTGATTTGTCGCTGCGAAATACCGCAAGCATGAGCTCTATATACTATATTGCTGCAGCATAGCATAACAGCAAACATCTCGCTGAGACATCTGAGACATGCCTAAACTGTGCATAAAATAGTGCATGATTTGGCATGAGACCCGTGTGGAACTCTCGTCAGTCCAACCTTTCAGGACCAAAAACCTTTCAACTTGCCTTCGCAATGTCGCTCTGAACTGTCCTGACGGTTGCACAATGTCGATTACACCATAATAATCCTTTTGGCAGCGCTACAACCATTGGATGACTCGGCCTCTGTATACAAGTATACGGTATACTTCATTTCTGTTCGGCGTGGCTTTCATTTCTCTTCCACATCCTTCTGAACAAAAAGGAATGAGATGAATGGAATGCTTATCTCAACTTTTCCACGGCGTCTTTGGTGTGTTGTGTGGAGGCTTCGCATTGGGCGAACGGTCCACCTTTGACCTGGCCGATTTTGGAACAAATCCAACGGCTGTGAAGCGACTCCAACTCCACTCCTGGTGTGATCCCTTGGGGTCCGAAGGCGGTCACCGATCACGCTGATCACACCTTTGTCGCACAGTGCGGAACACGCTCGTGGAGCACGCTATACAAAATGTTCCAAAACAACCGGTGCACCACAGGCACACAGCGCAAAACACTCTGCTGCACCATGCTGTATATGTCTCAGGCAGCTGCACATGGCTAGCATGTGGCAAAAACTGTCCGCAAAGTCGCTGAAGTTTTGGACCAGGAACATGACATGAACACTGAAGACTCGTGCCTCTATGTGTGGCGCCATCCGGAACAGTCCGTGTCCTGGCGGCTCATGGAAGCCTGCTTCATGCGATTTGCAAGGCTCCTTGCGCTCAACTTTGTTATGACGCATCTTTCAGGTCTCAATTGATGTGCTGGCCATAAATCTTTGCATGTATAATACCGAATTATATACAATGTGTATATATATATATTGCTATATATATATTATGACTTATGACACAACTGATCAGGTCCACCTGAAAAGCACAGGAGGATGCCCCACCTGCATGGCAGGAAATGGGCTTGTGCATTGGAACAGGATATAACAGAATGTTGCTTGCGAACTTTGGGCTACATGCCGTCAAGCTACATACCCTGAAGCAAAGTTAACATTCCAGAAATCCAAACCAGCATCCAGACCTTCAGGCCTTATACTGCCTTATACACCGCCCTATGCCTGTTTCTCACACCGCTTGGATTTGTGGTCCCGATGAGTTGGGGGCCAGTCAGGGTCCTTAGCTCATGCACATACCTGAAGCACCAACGAAACCTTTGCAATACAAAAGCCTTACATGACCGTTCCTGAAATACATAGTAGATCATAGTAGCCCATTGCTGGCAAGTTTGCAGGTGCAAAGCTGGTCCCTCTTGTGCACCCAAATATCTAGAAGTCTAGGATGTTGTCTTCTCAGAGATTTTCTCCAAACAAAGAACCTTCCATTGCGCGGGGAGAGAAGCTTAAAAATCCCGACCGGAGCTGCAAACCGCGAAGCTGCGGGGAGACCCTTCTCCATGCCACCAGCTATTGCGCGCAAAAGCGCAGCTACAGCAGCGCCATTACCCCAGCAGCACCACGGCGCCCATATCAATAGCGAGATCAGGTCTTCCCCACACCACACCCTGAACATTCGGAAACATTTGGAGATTACAGTATAGTATATAAATCTGCCGCACTCTGATGGCGCTGTATCCAGGCTTCACACCCATGGACGGTGCAGGATTGAAAGCTTGGCAACTTTCCCAAGAATTCCTTTGGCTACGATATGAAGGGTACTGCCAGCAGCGCTCAAATTTGATAAGGGCACGCCCCAAACCCATGCAAAAAGGACAAAGTAGACTTAGACTCAAACCTGCCGATTCCTACACCTTCTTTTTTTGAACATAGCCATGGGGCCATGCTTATACACTAGGGAAAACCAACTGCCATGTCAATCCCACCCCGCTTCCGGGCAAACCTGTGCTTGGGTCAGTGAAGCGCTGGCAACCTGCAGTCATCGCTCTGATATACTCTGATCAAATTCAGGCATTCAATGATTAGAGCTCTGCGAATTTTCCGCAAAAGCATCCTCCTAATTATTGACCGACTTCCATCTACTACGTGTAGACATGCCAGCTGCTTTGCCATACTATTAGTTATGCGTCACAGCCATCTTACCACCACCACCTGGGCGGCTACAAGGCTGCCAGCAAAAGAGGAGATGGACCTGGGCCACTAAGTCTAAGTTTCATTTTCTGCACCCTGTCTGTCGAGACAGCGCAACATGCAACTGTGTCTAGCTTTCTGGTAACTGCCTGCGTTTGGCATGACTTGAGTGCTGTTGGTCAAGTGTTCTTCTTCCATCCTTTGATTCTGTTGATCGTGTCGCCCTCCAAGGCCTGACACCGGCGGATTCAGTCCAAACGTTGTCCGAGAAAATGACGTGCCTTCGGAAGCCAAGATCTTGGACCTTGGCCGGTGAACAGTATCGCAACGTTGAGAGGTAAAACACGGGTTTTGTCACAAAAGTGATATTGGGGTGTGCGACGTGTTCACTGTCCATTGTTCTTCCTTACGCTATGGAACGCACTTCATGTGGGATGCCTACTTGGATGCCAAAGTGGGAATCCATCCACAAATTGATATCAATTTAGTTGATACCCAGTGGATACACAACGAAATGTGATTTGTCTCACCTTGTCAGACCCCAGCTCTTGTGTCGCTGAGTCCCTGAGGAAGAGTGTTCCACCCCGGGCGCGGGGATTGGCAGCAGTCGCCAAAACTTCCGTTTGCTGCCTTGAAAACAAATGCCCGCTTCAAACACTCCATGTCTTGAATGTCATTTGCATGGTTTCACTTCGTCCAATGACTGGCTGGCAGCCATTAAATGGCCCCAAAGCAAACTTCTGTTACAGTAAGTGGAACTTCGTGTACGAAGTCCTGTTAGACACTTCTTTGCATACGGAATTGCAAGAGCCCCCCGTATCAGAACCTCTTGGAACCCTCTGCCAGTCAAATGATGTCAACGGCAACTTTTCTTGTGGAGTTGTACCCCATCAAAAAGTTCGAGTCCAGGTGCTTTCAAGGAAGTGCACTTCCCCCAACATGTGGCATACCCTAGAAATCCACTGCATGATTGCTTATTGGGAATATATAGTCCCATGGTCCCATGGCAAAATCAAACATCCAATTCATGTGACGCGGCCACTCCTGCGAGACGAGATGTAGCCAAAGGAAAAAACCTTTCGCGACTGCCACAACGAGCCAAGAGCTTTGGTCTTTCGAAGCAAATGGCATGGACATCAAACCCTGCATGACCAAAAGCATCTGATATTGGTTACTTTGGCAACTTTCATTTGCCTGTCTGTGCCGATCTGAGGGCGACCCCTTTGGGGTCAATTCATTTGGCACACGTTGGTACCTTTGCACGAACCCAATGGCTTCCATCAATTATATATAGCAGAATATCATGCGACAACTAGGAAGTTATATATATATAGTTATATGGAAGTTAGAATCTATAGAGCCTCGCAATATATGTTACAGACCGTAGAGGCAACTCTAAGCAAGCAAAGAAGCCACCAGGATATTTAGCTAATGCTGCAGGCAGCAGACTTGGATTTTTGTCCTTTGCTTTTCCTCCCAGTCAGGTGCTGGGTGGTCCTGTTTGCACTCTTTCGCACAGGCGAGGACTTGCGGACAGTTCCAGTTCCAGTGCCTCAAAGCGAGCACCCGCACACGGTCAAACAGAACATGCATCCATGCATCGACTTGCCTCGCTCTGTTCACTATCTCATGGCACAAAGGCACAAAGGCACAAACTCCATCACTCATCATCACTCCATCATATTCATTAGGAGGAACAAGAAGCTACTAGGGGCTCCTGGCATCGCTACTAGGAACAAGGACGATACTAGTAGCAAAATATATAGTACTTATGTAGGATGCACAAACACCTCCCAGGCTCGGCCAAGGCGGCCAAGGTACCATGTGGCGGATCCAACAGGTAGCTCTGCAATTGTCGAGTGGACCCCGAACAGCTGACTAGTTCTCGCTCGGTGAACGTGAACCTGAGAGGCCACCAGGTTCAGTTTTCCAGAGTGTCTCTGCTATCTTCCAGACTGAGGGCGCGACTGCTTGAAGCTCTTCATGACTTCCACAAAGGTTTCACTGCAGCAAATCCTTCCTGGCTCACCTGTGCACAAAAGTGTGGAGAATGTGAGCGAGTGCTTCCGAAAGGTCACCACACTTTCTATCTAGTGTTTGATCCGTGCCCTCGAGAAACCTCTCAACAAAAACACACACACACACACAAGTGGAGTTTGTGGGAAAACATTTAAAGACTGGACATCAATATCATTGCTATATAGTGGGGTTGACGGCCAGAATGAAGCAAACCGCATTCACGGTTCAAACCACACCGGATGCTGTGGTTCTCTAGTTGGCCCGAGCCCTCGAGAAGACGGACTTCCAAAGGACCACAGCTCGCCAAGATGCCGCTGGATTCCATTTGGTTTCCGATCAACACGTCCTGCCGGGAATGGGATGCCGGCTTCCCATTTTTTCGGTATTGGGCTGTGCAACGGAGAAACCTGCGGTTTGTTGCGAGGTGATGCTGTCTTCCGTGTACTGCCAATGATGCAAGCTTCATTGGAGCTCTGACGTGAAACAAACAAAATCAGATTGTTTTCCTATCAGTAGCCAAACCATATCAGAACTATCATGTGTTACTGTTAAGTGCTAATGGTTTGTGCTGTCATGAAAGTGATTGACGGCAAATTGCCAAATGGAGTTTTAGTTCGAACCTGTGCATACAGTGAGGGGCTCAACAGTCCTCCCCCCAAATGTCGAAG